ACCCCGCCCCTCCCGCCAGATCAGCCTCGTCCAGTGCATGCTGTTGGCTGCTGTCAGGTTCTCCTCGCCCACCCTTTCCTCTGGGGCACGCCTCACCTTGTGATTAAAGAATGACAAGTAATTACTTGTTTAAGGCCTATCTCCTCCCAGGATCCTGCCTGTCCTGTTTCTTCTTTCCTGTCGGCCTCCAGAGATCACTGTGGGCTGAAAGAATGAGGTCCCGCCAGGAAGGTCTGGACCCTCTTGGCCTGGTCCAGAGCCCGCGGGGTGGGCTGGGTGGCAGGGAGGTGCCCAGCTGGGCTAGGAGGAGGGAATCGCTCCAAGGGGACTGGCTGGGTGGGGCCTTTCCTATGGCAGCTGAGAGCATCGTGCGAACACTGTCGCTGTCCCTGGCTTGCCACCTTGACTGGGCGCCAGGAGGCTCTGTGGTGATGACCGAGCACCTGCTCCGTGAGGGAGATCAAGACAGCGAGCCAGGGACAGACTGCTCCCTGGCCCTCCGCCACACCTGCTGGGACCTGCTCCGTGTGCAGACCTGGGGAAGGGCTGGTCCACAGTGCAGGGGATCCACACTCCAACTTCCCACGGTGGAAACTCCCGGGATTCCCACAGAGATCGGGCACGTTCTCCTTCTGCCTGATGTAAAAAGGCCAAACTCTTAAGTGCTGGGGACTAAATGGACAGGCCCCTCCATGAGCTGCGAGGCTCCGCATGTGGCTCCCAGCCTGTGCCACCCAGAGCCGGGATGCGGAGCCTGCCTGGCTCCGCTTTGGGGTCAGTTCTGCCACAGCCAGGGGTTTCTTCTGTGTCTGGTCAGAGCCCCTCTGGCTCGGTGTTGGCTGATTGCTTGATGTGACCTTACAGGGGTTAAAACTCCTTGAGGGCCAGTAAATGTCTGGCTTAAGCCGCCATCTGTGGGACTTAGTTACAGCTGTCCAAGCAGGTTAATACGCCAAGCCACTCCCCTGGCCCTGCCTCGGCCTCTTGGCTTCATCGGGGCCATCGAGGCTGCTGCCACCTGCCTGGCTCAAGGGAAGCGTCATTCACAGCTCATTATTTCCCAGATTTTAAACGCCCACCCCCACCCCTGCTGCCCATGAAACAGGCCTCATTTCTCCTCTTTCCTTCTGAGTCACAGCCAGCTGGTTCTGAGAAGGCTGGGCTGCAGGGAACAGGGACAATGTGCTCATCAGTCCCAGCCAAGCCGTGAGCCGTCATTCGTCCTCCAGGGCCAGGAGAAGGTGTGGCAAGAGTGGGTGCCAGGCAGTGGGCAGTGGGAGCCCAGGGGGGATGATGAGGAGGGTGGGTGGGGCTCTGGCCGGTTTGGCTCAGTGGATAGAGCGCCGGCCTGCAGACCGAAGGCTCCTGGGTTTGATTCTGGTCAAGGGGACTTACCTCGGTTGCAGGCTCCTCCCCAGCCCGGGCTCTGGTAGGGGCTTGTGCAGGAGGTAACCAATCGATGTGTTTCTCTCACATCAATATTTCTCTCTGCTTTCCCTCTCTCTTCCACTCTCTCTAAAAATAATCAATGGAAAAATAACCTCTGGTGAGGATTAAAAAAAGGAGGGTGGATGAGGCAGTGGGCAGCGCCGTGGGGCATGGCAGCTCAGGCTGCCAAGGCTCCGTTTGTGGGAGATACGGACGCCTCCTATGCAAGGACATTTTTTTTCATATTTAATCCCACCCCACTATTGTGTCCTAAACTCCTCATGAGTGCCCTGTCCTAAGCATCGGTGTGAAAGTCTATAAAGCACAAGAAAGCCACCAGTTCCCAGTTCCTCACTGAACACAATGGATACACACAATCAGAGGAAGACAGGATAAGGGCATCTGCTGCCAGCTACACACAAAGAAGGTTGTCACCAATGCACAGCCCTACCGATGCAGGGGGGTTGGCGGGGGGAGGAAGAAACGACTCTAGGTAGCCTGCAGGCATGGCAGTGGGAAATAGAATTTGAAAATGGAGATTTGAGAATTGACTCCCAGCTCAAGTGTTTTCAGATTCGTTTTTAAAACAAGTCTCTTGGGCCCTGGCCAGGAAGCTCAGTTGGTTAGAGCATCATCCTAATACGCCAAGATTGCGGGTTCGATCCTTGGTCAGGGCACATATATGAATCAACCAAGGAATGCATGAATGGATGGAACAACAAATCAATGTGTGCATGTTTCTCTCTCTCCCTTCTCTCTAAAAAATATCAATTAAAAAAATGTTAAAAAATAAATAAAGCCATTCTCTTGGTGAGGTAAAAAGTATTCTGTGAGCCCTGCCAGTCCAGCTTAGTCGAGTCCATCATCACACCTTGGACATGGAAATGTGGCAGGAAGTTAACGCTGAGGGGAGACCAGTGGTGTGTCTGCACCACGGCAGCCAGGGACACTGAGGGCGGCAGCAATGGGCTGCACTGTCCCCCCAGGCCATATGTTGGAGTCCTGACCTCTAGGACCTCAGAATGTGACTGTATCTGGAGATGGGGTCTTTAAAGAGGTGATTAAGGTAGAAGGAGGTCCCTGGGGTGGTCCTAATCCAATGTGACTGGTATCCTTATTAAAAGAGGAGATCAGGGCACAGATACACACAGAGGGACACCCACGTGGGGACACAGGGAGGAGACGGCTGTCTGCACCTGGATCCCTGACCCCCAGCCTCCAGGACGGGGACAGTAAATGTCTGGTTTAAGCCGCCGTCTGTGGGACGTAGTTACAGCGGCCTGAGCAGATCAGCACACATTCCAATCTCAAACAAAGTTTTCCAGCTTTTCCCTTTTTTAAAAAAAAACACAGAATGATAAAACTTTAATTCCAACTAACTTGGTCTTAGCAGTGAGGATGGACAACCAGCCACTCCCAGCCAAAAAGCCAAGTGCTGGTAAGAAACCTCAGCTCCAGTGGCTGCATCGGTTCACCGACCCTGAGTGCAGCCGCCTGCCTGCCTCCCTCTGTGTCTCCCCAGCAGCTCCCTTCCTTTCCCAGATGGCAGGAGGGGCAGCAGGCAGGAGGAGCTCATGGCCACTGTAACCCCAACTCTGCTTCTCCCTGTGGGGGTCCAGTTGATGGAGCCCATATAAAGAGTCGTCCCTGGCCGCGGAACACACTGTTTCCAAACCAGATGCAAATCTTTGCTTATCCGTCCGTCTGCTTCTCTGCCTAGACAACCAGCTCTCACATCTCGAATTATGGAGGTATTTTGAGTGCCTGGCCCGGTGCCTGGCTTAAAGTGGCTCAACATGACAATGTCTGCGGAATAGATGAATGACATGGATAAAAATGTTCTTCGTATACATGCTGAAAAATTCCAACATCTAACAGTTGTCATATCCTCTGTGAACGTTCAAGTGATTTTAAGGACGTGTCAGGAAGAAAGAAATAGACCTTCCTGGTGGTACTGCCATGGCCTGGGTGCCAAGATTGATCAACTGAAGGTACTCAAACAAAACACCCATTGACGGCCCCACTTAGCAAGCCCGGCGTGGGGGCGGGTGCTGGCTGGCACCGCTGCACAGCACGACCTGCGTCCTCAGTAAGCCAGCAGCCACGGGATCCAAGTTCCTCACAGATATGAATCTTTAAAACTTGGGAACGAGAAATCAGAATACCCCACACCCTAATTATTCGGTGTTCTTGAGAACACTGTATTTGCATGCTTTCAAATATTAAAAATTACCCTATCTGATCCTCTCAATCTTTTGTTTCATGACAAATATTCCAGAGCTAAAAACATTTCTTTTTGTGTTGGTCAGATTTTTAGGAACATGTCAGTAGGAGTTGGGCAATAGGAATACACCAAAAAGGCTGCAGGTTCAATTCCCAGCCAGGGCACATAGAAGAAGCAGTGAATGCATAAATAAGTAGAACAACAAATTGATGTTTCCCTCTCTTTCTCTCTCTCAAAAAAAAAAAAAATCAAAAATATATTTTAAAAACCTGTAGTCCCACGTGAACATCATACCCTGGAGGGCCCTGCTGCCACCGATCTTGGAAAGGGAATGAGGGTCTAAGCCAGCCGTGGGCAAACTACAGCCCGCGGGCCGGATCCGGCCCGTTTGAAATGAATAAAACTAAAAAAAAAAAAAAAAAAAGACCGTACCCTTTTATGTAATGATGTTTACTTTGAATTTATATTAGTTCACACAAACACTCCATCCATGCTTTTGTTCCGGCCCTCCGGTCCAGTTTAAGAACCCATTGTGGCCCTCGGGTCAAAAAGTTGGCCCACCCCTGGCTCTGAGCAAATGGTCTGCGGTCTGGCCGGCAGCGGGAAGCTGGAGGAGTTGAAGTAGGAGATCCTGGCGCAGACATCCCAGCTACTGGGACAGCAGAGCTGCATTGCGTGGGCGTGCTCAGCGGACACACGGAAATGGTTGCATTCTTGCGGCACCTTGGGGTGCCAGTGCGTGATGAGCGTGATGCCGGTCGGTCTCCGCTTCATATTGCTGCTTCCACTGGCTGGGATAATGAGACTGCAAAAGCCCTTCTGGGAAGAGGTGCTCAAGTGAATGCTGCCCATCAAAATGGCTGTACTCCCCCACACCATGCAGCTGTTGCCCGAAGGCGGGGCTGATCCAGATGCTAAGGACCAGGTGAGGCTATAGCAATGCACCGGGCGGCACCCAGGGTAACCTGAAGATGATTCATATCCTTCTACGGAGCACCCACAAGCATCCAAGGTACCACTCCTCGATACTTAGTCCGTGATGAGGAGAGAGTGGGGGAGGCTTACCTGCCAGTGTCCCAGGGAGCAAGTATTTACATTGAGAATAAAGAAGATAAGACACCCCTTGCAAGAGCACAGGAACGGTGGGAGTGAAGCAGCTTGGATTTTTTTAATTTAATTTCTTTGTTAGTCCTCACCTGAGGATATCTTTTCCATTGACTTTTACAGAGCATGGAAGGGAGGAAGGGAGGGAGAGGGGAGAAACATCGATGTGAGAGAGACACATCCTCTGGCACGTGCCCTGACCAGGGCCGGGGATCTTACCTGCCACCCAGGTAGGTGCCCTTGACCAAGAATCGGACCTGAGACCTGATGGGGAACGGGCCGACACCCTAAGCACCAAGCTTAGGGCAAGCAGGTTGGATTTATTCTCACTGTGAACGTTTCGTGGTTGTCCCCCGCGTCCTGGAAACAAAGTGCTTCAGCACAGACATCATCTCTGAAGGAGGAAGTGTTTTTTTACATCCAAAGTTTGTAAACATTTTGAATATTGTTCCTGCTGAGATATTTGTTCTAAGCTTACAGTTTGTGACTGCCGAGGTTGTTCTGCTAGTGTTGTGTAGTCTATACAGAATTTCGGCTAATTCGAGTAAGCGGTTCTGTGGCTACTGTGAGACTTGGGCACTGTTCCAGGCCCCCTTTGACCCCCTCTGATGTGGAACAACCTCAGTAGCCTCAGGCCAACTGTTCTGCCAGATGTTTTTAGGTGGATTCTAGAATGTTCCTTCTGTAGAGTCAAAACATATCCTGATTTTCCAAGCTCAGAGGCCTATACCAAAAACTGCCACTTTTTCAAATGCACTTAATTTCTTTTTGTAAAAGGAGGAATACTGAAGATACTTCAGAGAACAAATTTTCCGTCGGCGGGGCTGCTGTTCCAAGTTTGGTGTTCATAAGCACCAAAATAATTAAATATGATAGCCTGTGCTCCCATGTATTCTTTTAACGAGGGGCTTCCCTCCATAAAATGTGTTCTTTTGAAGAGGAAGTTTTACAGTACCTATATTCAGTCATCCTGTAGGGAGACGAATGTAAAGCTTGTTAGCATGCTGTGTTACAAAAATGTGCTTTGACTTGTATTTCAGAAACTTAAAAAAAATAAAATGTTGAGAGAATCTAAAACAAACAAAAAAAACCAAAAAACTTACTGGAAATGCCAGCAAGTGTGATGGAGTGGGATTCCAGTCACGGAACACGTGCAGCTGTTGGCCATGCGGAGCTACACAGAGTCGCCAATGTGAGTCCTTTGCTTATTCCTGGGAATACCACTCCCAGGGCTCGTATGAAGTAACCTGTGTGCATAAACTCATTGATATTTCTTTTATTTGAAAGGACAGCTCACCATTGGCAGAGGCGGGGCCAAGAGCAGCCACAGCCACAGCCACAGCCACACAGCCACAGCCATAGCCACAGCAAGACTGGTCCCACGTGCTTCGGTCCCAGTTCCTAAAATTAACCCTTATCCTGCAGCTCCACGTGACGGCATTTCCTGCCCTTGCTTTTGACTTGATCAGTGGATCCCTTCCAACCAGTAACCTCTTCATGTTGGTTGGTAAGTTTACTTCTCCAGAGAATGATAATAGATATATGCCAAATAAAAACCACTTAACATTTTAAAGATAATTCCACGTCGTTACAAAGCAGTCACAGGGATAGAAAGCACAGCACAGGGAATATCGTCAATGGTATTGTAATAACTAGCGATGGTGCCACGTGAGTACTAGGCTTATTGGGGATCACCTCATAAATTATATAAAAGTCTAACCATTATGCTTATCTTTCATTATTACGGAATTATAATACTTTCCCCTTTTTCTCCATTTCTTGACTGCTTTTCTGCGCTCTTTGGGAATGGGAAAAACAAAACTTTCCTGGGAGATGGGGGGGGGGGGGTGAGGAACCCCTGCCTGGCAATGGGATGGACAGTGTCTCTCCCTATGGCCTCAGACGACTGTCTTAGCTCCCAGCCACACACGCTTGAGGGATGGTCACAAATAGGAAGAAAACCTCAGAAGACCTGCGAGGCCCCTTGGGTGGCAGTGGTGAGAACAGGCCCCGCCCTCTCTCAGCCTGTCAGAAGCAAAGAAGTAGGAAGTAATCCAGATTCTTGGGGGGTGGCGGGGTGGGGGGGTTGTGGTGAGGGTAGGGCTCTTACACGGGAGCTCTTCCCCACTCACTTAGCCCTCACAGCCGGCCTCTGAGGCGGTGCTGTGATCCTCGCTTTAGGAATGAGGACAAGAGAGGTCAACCAACTTGCCTGAGAGTACACAGCCACGGCCAAAAGAAACAGAGCCAACGTCTGAACCAGGCCACCCAGCTCCAGAGTCCATGTTAGTAACCACTGTGTGAAAGTGGCTTTCAAAGAGGGCAATGGTGACTAGACAAGAAGGGCAGTTACTCTTATTTCAACATCCCAGCTTGCAAGTTAGTCTTTATTGTCCCTATCTGACAGGTGAGATTGAGGCTTAGTCTGGGTTACATACCTTGCCCAAGGTCAAGGTTAAGGGAAGAGGGCCCAGCTCTCAGAGAGTTTGAACTGCCCGTGGGCTCTTCTCCCTATAATAGCTGGGTATTTTTATTAGATGACACTATCTGATGAACTCAATGAAATCCAGAAAATCAAGTTGCGGGAAGCTTATGACCTGATTTTAAAACCTAATTATATGGGTGAAGGGAACAGAAATCTTCACCCCTGTGTGGGGTACTCCCAGAGCTGGGACTCTCTGTGCCTGGCATTTACTGGGACAATGGGGAGCATTTTAGGCTGGGCAGGTGGGAGGCAGTGTGGACCCTCAGTGGACATTGGGGGTGGGACCTTGGTCGGCCCACACGGGTCAAGGGGTTTTGTCCCCAGCTTTGGGGTCAGCGGACACCTTTCGATATAGCATCAGGAACACGGGCTCCGGAGCCATTCCTGCATTCCAGGCAGAGCTTTGACCAAATCATGGGCGCCAGGCAGGTTATCTAGTCTCTCGGCGGCACCTGTAAAAGGATGTGGGATTGAGTGAGGTTACAGGGGTAAAGGGTTTTCTGTAAAATGCTCTGCAAGTGTGATTTTATCACCCCTGCTCTTAGGGACTGACACGCACCAACCAAGCTCCCACGATCCAGGCTGGCTCATTGATGGGTCAAAATTTCAGTTAATTGGTTGACTACGAGAAATCGAACAACTATGGACCCTGGAACATTTGGGCTGATGATGGATCTCCCTGCTTATCGGCCACTTGGACCTCAGTTTCCTCATCTACAAAATGGGAAGATATAGGAACCCATCTGGGGAGTTACTGTAAGAGTTAAATGAGATGAATAGCAAAGCACTTGCTTTATTTCCCTGTCTCCTCGTTTACTGACCTCCCACCTAACAGGGGTACATGGAAAACCCAAGCAGGGTGGACTCAGGAACCAGCAGCCCCGGTTCACTCGAAGCTCCAGTCCCATCTCTGCCCCAACCTGGCCGGGTGCCAGTAGGAAAATCCCTTTTGCATCTCTGGGCTTCGTTTCTTCCTCTTAAAGGGAGGGTCCCCTGTCCCACCATCCACCCACACAGCTCTTCCAGCCCAGACCTTCTGGCTGCTTGTCACACCACCATTCATTAGGTTCTTACATATTCCTGGGGGTTTGAGACACACCCAGATCTCTGTGATACACACTCTGATCTCACAGGATTCCTTGGCTTGCTTGCATCTCTAGACAGGAGAGGCGGCTCGGGTCATGCTCAAGGTTGACGACTAACTACATTATCCGGAGCCGAGGCTGGTGGCACATTTGTGAAGACACAACCCCCTCCCCACCCATATTACCTTATCTTTATCGAAACTTTAGAAGAATTGGAGCCAAAGCATTTCCCATGTTCATTGTTTTCCGGACTGAGGCTTACAAGGATGCCACCCAATCTCTACAGTGTTGTTCAGACGAATACTTCTGGGAAACAGTTTAGTTGGGTGGTACAGATAACTGCATCTAAAAGTCATTTTAGCCTCCTGAGCAATTCTCCATGGTTCATTCTTGCCTAGGTTTTATTAAAATAAGATTTGTGCCCCCCCCCCCATGATAAAAGTAGTGCAGATTCACCATAAAGTATCTAGGAAGTACACACTAGCACGAAGAAATACATGAAAACTACCCACGTCCCACTCAGACAACCACTGCCAACATTCTGATGGGTCCCTCTGCAGGAAAACATATGATGTTTATACAGAAAAATGCACAACACTAATTGCGTATAGTAACAATATTTTCATGTATGGATGTGTATGTTTTTCTTTTACAAATTTCATTTCATGTAAAACTTATTTTGTTGCCCAGCTGGTCTGGCTCGGTGGTTGCACATCAACCTATGAACCAGGAGGTCATGGTTCAATTCCCAATCAGGGCACACGTCCTTGGTTGCAGGCTCAATCCCCAGTAGGGGGCGTGCAGGAAGCAGCCGATTGATGATTCTCAGCATTGATGTTTCTCTCTCTCTCCCTCTCCCTTTCTCTCTGAAATCAATAAAAGTATATATTTAAAACAACAAACTGATTTTATCACAATTCTATCACTTGATTAATAACATTCTAGAGCAGTGGTTCTCAACCTTCCTAATGCTGCGACCCTTTAATACAGTTCATGTTGTGGTGACCCCCAACCATAAAATTATTCTCGTTGCTACTTCATAACTGTAATTTTGCTACTGTTATGAATCGTAAATATCTGATATGCAGGATGTATTTTCATTGTTACAAATTGAACATAATTAAAGCATAGTGATTAATCACAAAAACAATATGTAATTGTATATGTGTTTTCTGATGGTCTTAGGCGACCCCTGTGAAAGGGTCGTTCGACCCCCAAAGGGTCGCGACCCACAGGTTGAGAACCGCTGTTCTAGAGCTTTTTGTGTGAAAGATAAAGTTTATATCATACATGCTTCATCTAAACACAGCCTGCTTTCTTTTTTGAATTTGGACTCACTCTGTATATACTTGTTTGTATCTTGCTTTTTTAAAAAGGTTTTCCCCACTTTTAAGAATTAGGGCATACTTTACATATTAGTGTAGAGTTGTGTGAGTTTTGACAAACGTGTATAGTCTTGTAACTACCACCACAAACAAGATATAGAATTTTGCCTGTGATTAGATAGTTATCAAAACATGACTGAGAATGTCATCACACTTTCTGTCATTTGGAAAGAAAATGATTTAACCAATCTCTTTTTGTTGGCCTTTTAGCTTGTTTACAACTTTCTCTTACTGAACTTGCAATCTGGGGGAATGAAATGAATGAATGCATGCATGCATGCATGAATGAATGAATGGAAATGAGTGAAAGCTGGGATCTCACTTTACTGGAGCTATACCAAACGGGCTTCTCCCTTCTCTGCTTGGAAAACTGCTCATCCTTTGAGACCCAGCTCAGATCTCCCCTGTGAAGCCCCCATGATGCCAGCTGGAGAGTTGGATCCTCCTTCTTCTGTGGTCCCTCTGCACCAGTCACACATTGTTTATAAGACAAACATTGCAATACTCTGTTTTTCTTCGCCCCTCCAGGCTATAAACTGGGGGGCGGGGGGGAGGGAGAAATGATGTCTTAGCTCTGTGTTCCCCAAACCTATGCCACACCTGGCACATAGGGCCCTAAAAATATTCATAAAATGAATGAACATTCCACCCCATTGAACTAAATTTGGGTATCTTCCCAATTTCTCCCCCCCTCCCCCAGTGGAGAGCGTGTACTTGTACACAGTCCTGTCCCCACTACCACAAGTTATGCAGTCAAGCTTCCTACATTTGGGGAAATCGCAGGGGTCAGCACATCTGGAGTGCAATGGATAAGCCTCACTGTGGGAAACCACTTTGTGATCATGCTCTCTCTCCTGCCAGGTATTTGTTTTTTCCTGATTTCTTAGAAGGTACTTTATGAGCATGGTGCAAACATGGGCTGGATGAATTAAGCTGGTACATGTAAGGAGAGCTGGAGACTTTCCTCTGTTCCAGACCCTGGGTTAGGGGTGCAAATTCGTGTGTGTATGCAGTCACTCAATAAATATTTATTGAATGAATGAATTAATGAATACATGAAGGAAAAAGAGGTGTGGTCCTGGACTCTGGGAGTTAAGAAAGCCAATCTGAGGGAGCAATCTGGGGGAGTCAAGGAATCAGCCTGGGTAGGGTTCTCTGCCCCCATAGTGCCTTTGTTTAGACTTGGGTAATTCAGGGATTTCTGGCTGCCTCATCACAAATAGTCAGACAGTGGCAGTAGCGCCGGGCAACATGCCCTGACATTCTGGTTTGTGAAAAGTTTGTGCTCCAGGAGTCAAACCAAAGGGGGAGCATCTGCTTTCATGTATTAAAGGTGTATTTATCAATATCTGTACCTGCAGGATCTAGCACAGGACTTGGCACAGAGCTGGTGTTTAAAAAGGTTTGAGTAAGGCTGAAATAGGAATATGAATAAGGATAAAAATGACCATCATTTGCAGAGTGCCTCCCAGCCAGGTTCTCATCTGGTTGCTCTCTGCAGATGTTCTACTTATTAGGAAAGCCCTGGGGTGGTTCTGGATCCTCTTCCCATCCTAGAGATAAGGCTCTGAATCGCAGACAGGTTCCCCTGAGTCAGACAAGGGCGCACACCGCGAGAAGCGCACACGGCCAGAAGCATCTGCGGGAGCCGAACCGGGTGCGCCTGGCTCCGAAGCCTGCATTCACCACCCTGCGCCTGGGGACTCGACTTCCAGCGCTGCGCATCTCTGCCTCTCCGACCACAGCAGGTAAAGCGAGGTCAAGGGGTCTTGCGTGGAAAGCGCGTCCTTCGGAGTCCGGTAAGGATCGGTTCCGCGCAGGCTCCGGAAGCGACGCCGCGGGCTCGGACCTGCCAGCAGGTGACTTCCGCCCGCGCGCGCTCCCAGCAAGGTGTGGAAACGTGACGTCGGGAAGAGTCTGGCCCAGAGCCTGATAAAGAGTGGAAGCTCGATCATGACTCTGGAGTCCTCGCGCAGTAGGAGATTTGGGGGCGGCCCGGGAGGTGCCAGATGCTGTCAGGACCCGAGCCCGGAGCCACGACTCCGGGGAGGCGACCCCGGCCTGGGCGGGGCCTGTGGGGGCGGGGCTCCGGCAGCGCCCATCCAATCGGCGCCTGGGAGGCGCAGACCGCCCCACCTGAGGAGGCGGCGCTTGCGCTCTCGGCCGCCACGGTGCTCGCCCGACGCCCCTCCCCGGGGCGGGGCGGGCCGGGCCGGCGGCGCTCGGCGCTGACGCTACGCCGACGCGCCTGACGTCGGGCACGTTGACGCCGGCGACGCGCAGCCGGGCCCGCTCCTCCCGTGCTCCGCCAGTGTCCGGCCGCGGGCCGGCCTTAGTGACTGGGGGCGGCGGGCCCGGGGCCGCGGGCGCGGGGCGCGCGCGGGCGCGGGCTGCCTTCGTCGGGCCCCGAGCTCGCCCGGAGCGAGCGGCCGCCCGGGAGCCGCCGCGGAGCCTCCTCGCCTGCTCCCGCCGGCGAGCAAGGTAAGGGAGCGGGAGACTGAGGCAGGCTCGGGCGGAGCGGGGTCCCGGGAGCCAGCCCCTCCCCGGGACGGCACCGCTGCCGATTAATGTCAGCCTCGCGGGAAGGGCGCGCTCCGGGGGGCGCAGGGCGGGAACTGGGGGCGGGGCCCGCGGCGCGGGGTCGGTGCGAGAGCCCTGCGGGCGCCCGCTGGAACCCCGGCGGGACCCCGGGAGGATGCGTCCCCCGCCCGCGCCCCGAGGGACGAGCTCAGGCACTGCGCGCCGCCCCCTCCCCTGCCCCCAGCGCCCCGGTGATCCCAGCTCCGAGCGCGAAAGGCAAACACCTGTGGCCGCGAGAAACCCCGACTCAGGCTGAGCTCCCGTTGCAAACGGTTCTCAGCAAGCACCCCGGGGTCCGGGGATCTGCCGCACCTGGTGCGAGCGTGAGCGTGGAGAGGTCGTGGTGACCATCCGGTGCGTGGTCTTGGGCATCTCCCGCTCGGGGGTCTGCCGAGCCGGGAATACCGCGGCAGCCTCGGGCACCGGCCCTCCTTTCCCTGGCCCCGGAGTTATATTTGAGACACTTAATAGCCTCTCATAATCTCACCTTTCACTTTTCTTTCCTAGCCGTCACGGCTGTATCGACCTGCTATATTTCCATTGTGGAATTTTTTTTTTTTTTTTTTTTTTGGTCTGGTAACTTACGTAAGTTAGATTGTCGGACCAGCCATTGCAGCCATTGGAAAACATGCCTCCCAGCCCCTAAGGAATCCAGGCCTTTTAGCGCTCCCCAAATCCAGCCCAAGAATTCAGGGAGCCGTCAGTCCTTCTCAGGAGCTGACGGCACACATTCCTGTAAGATGCCTGGTGGATTTGTACTTGTCTGTGTGCGCCCCCGGTGCTTTTCCTGAAGACTGATTGGGTGGCGTGTGTTTCAACTTTCTTTCCCCTACCGGGAAATAGGAAAAAAAAAAAAAAAAAAAAAAGGTTACAGAAGCACACGTGTTTTCAACATCTAGAAAATACAGCTTTGCAAACAAAATACCAAGGGTTTGCTGTTTGTGTCCTTTATGGATCATTGTCTATTAATGTCTTCCTTCATCTTGTGGTTTGCATGTGTGTGTTTTCCCAGTCTGTCATGTTCAGAGCCTACCAGTCAGATGGGAGACAGAGGCTGTGGGCCTTTCATTTATTAAGGACAGGTAGCTATAAAGTTGCAGCTTTGTGAGAGCCCTGACTTTGCACTTGCTGACTGTAGTCTGGGCCTTTTCTTTCAAGATGATGTGCGAGGTGATGCCAACCATCAGTGAAGCAGAAGGCCCCCCAGGAGGAAGTGGGAGCCATGGGTCCGGCTCGCCTTCGCAGCCAGATGCAGATTCGCATTTTGAGCAGTTGATGGTGTCCATGCTGGAGGAGAAGGACCGCCTTCTTGAGACGCTGAGAGAGACCCAAGAGACACTGGCGTTAACCCAGGGGAAATTACACGAGGTTGGCCATGAAAGAGATTCCTTGCAGAGGCAGCTCAACACTGCACTTCCGCAGGTACGGATGCTCTTCCCTCTCCTGCAGCTTTACAGATGGGTGTCTGCTTAGTGGTGTCATTTCTGGGAGGTCATCTTGATGATGTTGGTATTTTTAGATGAGTCCTTTACATGACCATTTGTGAGTTGATGGGGTTCTGGTATTTGTAAGAGCTATAGAGCCAGGTCCTGGGGATTAAAGTTCTCAGGAAAAAAGGTTCTGCCCTTCTGAAGTCATGTGAAAACACCTGGTTACTCTTGTTCCTTTCTTCGGGGCGGCGGGAGGAACTGGATTTGGGGCGGTGCTCCCAAGTTTTTTTAAAAGGACCTTGAAACAGTCAAGCTATGGGGTGCATTTCGATCGCTCGTCTTCAGCCGTTTCTTGTTAAATGGGTATTGCCCATGGGTTGTGTCATATATTTCTAATTAACTGATGAAATTGAATGGACAAATAGGATTGGTTTCACAGGAAAATACTTGTACAATCCGCCTTTATCAGGACACCTGCGTGTTATAAATGAAATTTGTTCCAGGAAATAGAAAACTGGACATTGATTCCTTTGGAACTTTCTCCTTGGCAGATGAGAATTCTAAAGCTGCAGTTGTTCATTTAAGTATGTTACGTTTGGACCAGTGTTTCAAACCCGTTGATTATGGAGCTGAATGAGGATTTAATGATAGGTGAAGGGAGAGAATGGCAACTGGAATGTAAGGTAAAAGGCACAGCCTGGTGGGAGAGAGGAAAGTGACTTGGGTGTTATGAGCTGTCTAGGTGCCGTTTTACTTATTCATAATAGCTGCCTTGATGGTGCTTTCAGGCAGCCCTGAATAGGCACACATTGATGCTTTCGTGGTGGGTCTGCAGCGCTAAATTAGTGAATGAATAATTACTGGCCTTAATGCGTTTCTTGGCTTTAGTCAGCTGTCCTGAAAGATTGATAAGTTCAACATTTGGATTTCTTTTTTAGCAGGAATAATTTAATGTTAGTGCTATAATATTTCCTTTTTTTGGATTAGAGAACCATTAAGTTTTTTCTCATTCCAATCCTCTAAATTGCCAATTTTATTTGGGTCAGATTTTATTACCAGAAGCTTAAAAGGATTGGTCATATTATGTCTTGCCAGATTTTAGTGTATTTGTAAATCTTTTCAGTTGTATTTTTGTGTATGTGTGATTGTATTTGTTTTAATGTAATTGGAGGTAGGTACATATACTGAAGTGTATGTCAAATACATATCTGGTGAGCTAGTTTTTTTAAAGGAGCACAAGGACACAGCAGGGAAGGGACGGAGTTTTGTGCAGTACAGTCTCGTACAGGGGGTTGCCGCACCAGTGGGGTGAGACAGTTGCTCAATGATTTGTTTCTAGCTACTGCGCAGGGTGGTAACCTGGAAATGCCTCATTAAGTAGAGATGGTGTCGCACAGTCACTCACCACCTAAGCACCTGGGGCCAGCATTTCAGAAACACAGGAACCATCAAGTAAACGTGGTTTGGACGCTTCCCTTTCTTGGCATTTATCTCCTGTTTGGTGGTTAGCAGTGTAACCAGGTAGGAGGCATATGAATCAGATAAGTACATTTGTTCTCCTGGCACATTACGTAGGCAAGTATATACTTCAAAATTTGAATATAATATACACCAGGAAAATTCACAAATCATAAGCGTACATCTCGAGTTCTTCACAAGGTGAACACATTCTTGTAACCACCACTAGCTCAAAAAACAGAACATTTCCAAGCTTCCCAGAAGCCCCTCTTACCTACTCCCAGTATTTGTCCCCCAGAGCTAACTATGCCCCCCCCAAATTTTTTAAAAGGACTTTTAATTTTATTTGTTCCAGTGGTTTTCAATTTTTTTTTAAACCACAGGAACTCTTTCTTCAAGAAAACTTGTATTCAGAATCCCAATATATAAAACAAGTATCAGTAGAAAATGATGGTCTGGACTTTTTAAAAAATATTTTTATTGATTTCAGAGAGGAAGGGAGAGAGAGAGATGAAAACATCAGTGATGAGAGAGAGTCATTGATCTGCTGTGTCCTGCACAACCCACACAGGATCGAGCCCGCAACCAGGGCATATGGCCTCATCAGGAATCAAACCCATTACCTCCTGGTTCATAGGTCGATGTTCAACCACTGAGCCACACCAGCCTGCCCGCTTTTGACTTTTGGTGATGATTGCTTTGGCATGTTCTTGATTTTATATAAATGCAGTAAAGTAATATGTGTATTTTGTTTCTTGATTCTATCATTCAACATTGTATGCGAAATCGATCCATGTTATCTTATGTAGCTTTGTTTATTCTCATCTGCTGTCTAGTAACCCAATATATGAATGAATATACCATAACTTATTTATTTTTAAAATTGATTTTAGAGAGGGAGGAAGGGAGAGAGAAACATTGATGTGAGAGAGATACATCGATTGTTAGGCACGACCTTCCAATGCATGGGATACTGCTTTAACCAACTGAGCCACACCAGCCAGGGCTATCATAACTTATTCTTTCTACTGTTTGTGGGTATCTGGGTTGTTTCTAGTTTTTGCAAATGCTGCCCTGAATATCCTTGCTTGTTTTTTGGGTGCAGATATGTATACATTCCTATTAGGTGTGTTCAAAGGAGTGACAAGAAGTGGTGTCATTTGATCAGCCTCAGTAGACACTTCCCGAGTGGTGTTGGTACCAGTTTGTACCATCTGCAGTGTGTGAGCAGTCAGTGGTTTTCTAATACGTGGTCTCATCAGTTCTTTCATTCTCGCTGTCTGGTGGGTGTTGAGTGCATATATGTATGGCAGATTTTCTTTTACGTTCTTGTGTTTGCGCCTCTTCACTCTCTCAGTGGTATCTTTTGATAAGAAGTTTTCATTTTAATGTAGCCCAATTGATGCTCTTGGTTCATTGCATGATATCAGGAAGTTCATGAAGGTGTCTTCCTGTGAAAGCTTTCTTTTTTTTTTTAATATATTTTATTGATTTTTTACAGAGAGGAAGGGAGAGAGATAGTTAGAAACATCGATGAGAGAGAAACATCGATCAGCTGCTTCCTGCACATCTCCTACTGGGGATGTGCCCGCAACCCAGGTACATGCCCTTAACCGGAATCGAACCCGGGACCTTTCAGTCCACAGGGCGACGCTCTATCCACTGAGCCAAACCGGTTTCGGCCTGTGAAAGCTTTCTTGTTTTATCTGTCACATTTAGATCTATAATCCATCTGAAATTGATTTTTGTTTATGGTGTGAGATAGGGGCCAAGATCCTTCCCCCACCTGAAATATATAGATATCCAAATGACACCACGTAATTTATTAAGAAGACCATCCTTCCCTAGTGCACTGCAGTGTCGTCTCTGTCATAAACCAAGTCACTGTAAATGTATGGGTCTGTTTCTGGACTCCCCTGTGCCCTTGATCTTTTGGTTATCTTTGCACAAATGCCACACTGTCTAACTTACTGTAGATGTAGTCAGTCTTGATAGCTGATAATTTAAGTCCTCCAGCTTTGCTCTGATTCATGATTACCTAGCTAATCTTGACCCTTTGTGTTTTCAGATAAATTTTAGGATCTACTTGGCAGTCTCTCCCCAGAAAATGTGCTGGGGTTTTCATTGAGATTGCATTAAATCTGTAGGCCAATGTGGGGAGTACTGACATCTTTTTAATATTGGTCTTATAAGCCATGAACACAAGAAAGTCTACCATTTATTTAGATCTTCTTTAACTTGTCTTAGTATTTTACAGTTTTCTGTATATGTTTAATATGTGTTTAATTTATTCAAAGGTATTTGATATTTTTGATGCCATTAAAAATTATATCTTTATGAATTAAATAATGCCGTGGTGTATTACTGGTATATAGAGATAGAACTTTTTGGATACTCACTTGCTAAATATATTTCTAATAATAATTATTGTATTTTCTATGCGTACACATGTGTCTGCAAATGACACTTTATTTTTTTTCTTTCCCAGTGCTATACCCATTTTTATTTTTCTTGCCTTATTGTACTGGCTAAGATCTCCAGTACAGTGTTAAGTAGAAGTGATGAGAATAGGTTTCCTTATGTCGCTTCCAATATCAGAGGGAAAGCAGTCCATATTTTACCATTACAAGTGATATTTGATGTAGCTTCTTTGTAGATATTCTTATCAAAATTTGAAAATTCTCTATTTTTAGTTTGCTAAGCATTTTTAAGATAATGAATTAAATTATTATGTTAACTTTTTTTTACTTTAAAATTTTTCAATTACAGTTGACATTTGATATTATTAGTTTCAGGTGTACAGCTTAGTGGTTAGATACTTAAATAACTTACAGAGTGATATTCCCCCATAAGTCCAGTACCTACTTGGTACTATGCATAGTTACCACAAAATTATTGACCATATTCCCTATGCTATACTTTATGACTATTTTTATAACTGGCAGTTCATACATATTAATCCCTTCCCCCTTTTCACCCAGCCTCCACCCTCTGCCTCCCCTTCTCAATTTGGTGACCATCAATTTGTATCAAGTGATTTTTCTTTTATGTGGTGGTTTAACTTTAAAAATTTTTTTTTGAAATTCTGTAATAATCCCAACCTGACCTCAGTGTATTCTTCTTTCACTGTTTTTGTTGTTGTTAATATTTTTAAGAATTATTTCATCTGCATTCATGAGAAATTGGTCTGTAATTTTAAATCTTTTTTTGAATTCTCTTATTGAAAGTGTTTATTTGACAGTGTTTCCAACTTGGCAATGAATGATGGTGATTTAGTTATAATTAAATAGAAATGAGTATATGAAAGCCTAATGAAGTTCAGAGAAGTATTATGTTTCAATACATGTATGTTATCTGCTTGCCCAATAAAATTTTATGCTTCTATTATAATTAACTAGGAATGAACTTATTTCAGTTTTTTTAAAAGAACAATTTCTAGTCTCAAAATTCTTATTTTGTTACATCCTCATTGAAAACCTAATTGAGAGTCAAGAAACGTATCTTGTAATGAGTCAAGCAAAAACATTAGTGTAG